TCTTTGTGGATTTGATGATTATATAGTTACATAGTCTAGTAGATATATGATATATTCTATGTTTTTTTGGAAAAATTAAGCTCAGCTGGGAGGCCAGTCAGGTTGCTTTGAGCTTGAGGACGTCTGAGTGGTTTTAATTGAAGCAATAAAACTGCTAAAGGAGCAAAACGCGTGGAAAAGTAGTAGCTGAGCTACAGTGATTTTGGTGATAAAATTGGGAAACTCCAGAGTAGTCACTTCCGTGTTTTGGCGGAGCTAGTCTCCTTCATGCAAACATAGCCTGGTCCGTCACGCTCACGAAAATGAAGCGCTAGGAGTGGGTTGTCTCCCTCCTTTCCAAAGACATTTGTGCAAAAGGAATCAAACAAAACATAGAGCCCAACCTGCTGATTGTGCAAGATCTTTCTATGTCAAAAACATCGAGGACGGGTGTGACTAGCTCGTTCTCTGGGATTGTATGCAGGAACATGCAAGCTGGATCTTGGCAGTCAAATTACAGTGTGGCCCCGAGCAATCATCTTTGACCTCCCATGTATCTGCTCTTAGGGCTCATCTCCTGTCTGAGGATGCATCCAAACCTAGGCACGACAAACTTCTGACCAACAAACAGGCATCAAGGTACGAAAGAAAATATGTGCAAAAATACGCGTTGCTGTGTGTGTGTGTGTGTGTGTGTGTGTGTGTGTGTGTGTGTGGGGGTTTAGGCCCTGACAACCATCTTGAGAGATGGACATTAGCTTTTGATCACCCCGTGGCCCATTCTACTGGTGGCATGCCATTCATCGTGCAAGTAGTGTTGGACGTTCACACTATTGACCGCCCAACAACTAGTTACCTTGCATGTAGAGACTGCAAAGGCTTCATTGCCTGGGCTGCAATGCATCGTCCTGCCATTTAACAAAACACCAGGGCTGCTAAGTCTACCGGGCTTGTCAAGAAGATCGGTGATCCATGTTTTGCCAGGCCTTCGAAGCCTTCGCTTTCTGTGGCCTTGTGCAATGCCTTATCAACGCCAGCTGTTTCTTGGCAAGGCGCACCCATTCTCCAACAATGAAGTTGTCTGCATGGAAAGAGAGGCGATCCTCCAACTACTAAGTCTAGGTGGAACTCTCAATTGTCCTGTGCATACAAAGCACATGTTTTTCTGTAGTAGCTAAATAGTCCGACAACAGTCCCTATTGTATCCTATTGCCTATTGTGAGATATGTTCAGCAAAGTCTGGCAAACAAATCAGCACAATACCATGTCTCTTAGTGATTGGCTTGCTCAATCGAATTGCCACAAAAGCGTCATCACCAGGAGAGGGTCATGCAAGATCTCCTCTTCAGAAGGTCCCTCATAGTGCCGAGCTATGACATTAAGGCCTGCAGAGCAGCCTGTCTCTTGCGGCTTAAGCTGTGCAGTCCAGCAACAAAGATACAAGAATCTACATCCAGTACCCTCAGTAAATGCTGGGTGCAAAGGGGAAGAGGAACAGCATGAATGCATGGAATTGCATGGATACTTCTCTCACCTCGCACACCACGATGGCGACAGCTCATGCTCTCCATGGATCCCTCAATCAGTGCTAACCTAGGGCCGCGAGGAAGTCTGTGCCCTCCGAAACAGCAAAAGGAACCCTAGGGACGAGCCCTCAAAGAAACATTTCGTGCGATGTGTTCAAGAGATGGCGTTGGTCAGAAAATATCCATGGCAACTGTATGCTGTGCACTAGATCAACTGACTGGGCTCAGCCTGTCATGAGTATCTTGAAGCAAACATAAATGTGTAGAATGGTGTAGATATAATATGATATTCCTGAGAAGGGAGTGGACGAAAGCCAGTCACCGCAAAAGATATCAATATGGTTATGGGGGGTGAGTGCGAGAGCCCTATCTATCACCTCCTCCCCCGCTATGCCCATTTTGTACATGAATTCCCACTCCATATGGGGTGCCCTTTTGCGTCTGGTCACCAGGCCTCTTCACCATAAAAAAAAAGGGCACGGCACCCCCAAGCAACTCAAAGCTTGCCCGCTGCATTCTGTTCCCTCCTTGTTCTCAATGAATGGGTCACGTCCTCCTCCGCTATGCCTGTCTCGTCCACATGAACTCCCACCCCATGTGGTATGGGGTGCCCGTTTGATTCCGGCAACTAGGCCTGTTCACCGTTAAAAGGGGCACCCCCCAAGCAATTCAAAGCTTGCCCGCTGCATTTTGTTCTCTTTCCTGCCCTCAACGGACCACAGCATTACATGAACTCGCACCCTTTTGCGCATAGTTGACGGGCGTCCTCACCCTTAAAAAATGGCACCCCCAAGCAACTCTAACATTTATTTCATGCCCTCTTTTCCTACCACGTCCTCCTACGCCTACGCTATGCGTGTCCTCCCTTCCCCACAGCATTCTGGCTCCTCACAGATCACACAATGTCTTAAGAGACACACACACACACACCTCCCTTTCACCCCTGGCCGAACACTATCTCACTGGCGATGAGAGGCGCACATCTCCCTTTTCTGGAGGAGTTCCAACCACTTTTCGCGTCCCGTTGTCCTCTCCTATCATTGACATGAACTCCCACCCCTGGTAGAAAACAGTTTACATTGCCTCCTGAGACCCTCGTGATGCTAATGATGCACTACTGGCCGTCAATTACATCACCGGCACCACAACACCCTCAAACTACTCATTTTTCACTACCAAGTGGCCCACCTCTTTTTTTTCGCTCTCCCCCACCAGGCTCTGGGTTCACCTCTCCGAAATTGGCCACCTCGCGACCACCCCACACCCCCTTTAACTCACTTCGTTCGCTCAGCTACCTCAATCCTTGCCTATCCGCTGGCTTTCGTGATATATATATATATATAGAGAGAGAGAGAGTCTATTTAGAGAGATGCTCCAAGGAGCGGAAAGGTTGAGGTGATAGGCCGATAGGGGCCCTCGGGGGGTTAGTGCGCAAAAGAACAAAATCCCAAATGGTCCAATAGATCAATCCTGCAAGCGTCTTCAACAAGGGAACACGGGCGGTTGAAGTACACCCTTCCTCCTGTCAACCAAAGAGCATGTTATTTGAACCTCAGATATGTCCTTGGTGACTTATATAATATATATATATATACAGTATATATATAGAGAGAGAGAGAAAAAAAAAGATGAGCCGTGTTCTTTCACTAATTGGCAACCTGGGGCAGAGGCTTTGGTGGAAGTACGGTAAACAAATGACATCAATGACCGGCAATTGCAAAAAGCAAACAATAAAGGGGAAAAATGTTCAAGAGCGTCAAAAAAGGTGTTCAAAGATAGTCGGTCAACATATTTTCATCTTTGATCCACCTTTCTCGGCTTTTCGCCTTTGTTCCGGATTTTGCCTACCTTCTTCCTCTTTCGTTTGGATGTGCCTTTCTACTCAAGTTGCCTTTATGGATTATCTAAAGTTTGCTTGGTCGTTTAATTTACAATTTAAGTTTGTTGCATTTTTGTACCTTTGTGAAGGGCTTCTCTCCAATGTCCCTGACGTTCTTTTTGTGTTCCACCGTAAGCGCCATGTTTGCACGTGGTCGCCTTCTGTTGCCTGGCATGCCTGAGATCCACACACTGCAGGGAAGCTTTGAAGGTCCAGATCCACGCGCAGGAGGCCCTTGGAGAAGTCATGGTAGGCACAGCCCATGTCCATCACTGGCCTCTCCCTGCGGGAGATGGGAAGTCGAGAAAGTGGTGAGAACATTCACTTGCTCCACGAGTCTGTGATGGAATCGTGCGAAAGACTGTTGTGGGAGTGGGTGATCAGCGAAAAGTTAGAAGTGGAGCCCCTAGTAGCATCCTTGCTCCTAAGCGAGGCCCTTTGTTCCTAGTAGCGAACCTTGCTCCTAGTAGTGAGGCCAGGAGCCCCTAGTAACTTAGTAGCATCCTTGCTCCTAGTGGCACGTGTTTCGCATGATATCTTTACAAAAGGTTGGCTGTTGTCCGCAGCACAGGCATGGTGCGAGCCTCCCGAAGCCTGCAGCTTCCAATTCCTTCACGACTGCATCCACATCCTGCCTGAGTCGATCTAAGGAGATCTCAAACCGCAGATGTGATCGAATGCGGCAATGATCTCGTAGATACAGGACAATCAGGACAGCCCTTAGACCCTCATCGACTCACACTGCTTCAGAACAGCGGTTTCGGGGTTTCGGCGCATCTCACCAGTCTGGCCTGGGGCCAAAGCTCAAACCACTAGGACGATCATGGCAAGAGACCTGGTGAAATGCAAATCGGGAACCATTGAACACTTTGTCCACCAAAGGATCTCTCATACATACGCAAATGGCTCATTCAGCTGCACAAGAAAGCCTCGCTGGTCTGCTTGCTGCGCATGCGCTTTCGGGCCATGGCATCTGAGTCTAAACTCCCGTTCACATGGCTTCGAACATCTTCGAGGAGAAAAGGGCCCAGGCCGCCTCAGGCCCAGGGGCCCAAAAAAACGGGTCGCGGCGAACAAAAGCGGACATCTCCCACCGATGCTTTTTCAGTGTTCATTGGACCTCCAAGCAATGGGGGCATTTGCTCTATGTTCATCTGCAAGTCCACATGGCTCCAATGTGAGATGTCTATGTCTTTCTTCGGATCAAACTGGCAAGCTACTTACAATCCCAGTGTGCCCCTGTAGATTGGCCATTGGCCGTTTGATGCCGTTTGCATGGGACGCAAAGTTACTAAAGTTGCTTTGACCTGACCCATCGTTGCATCCGGTCGATTCTTGAGCAGAAAGAGGTCAAAAGAGCACCCTAGTAGCGAACCTTGCTCCTAGTCTCAAGTTCCGATGCAAGTCTGGCCGGGCCCAGTTAAACTACAAGTTATTGCCTTGCAATCGCTGAGAAGCAATAAGGTTGATGGAACTGCCATGCACCTCTCTGTCGCATTCTAAAGAAGCTTCGATTCGTAGATTCATAGCTTCTCTTGAAACCAGCTTATGAAGCTCCTTCTGAGAAGTATGCTTTACATGTCGCACAGGCCAAAGCAACACCATGGAACACATGCCTCGCAGCTTCTGCACTGCCAAGAACTCCAGGATCCGCACTTTGACCTAGGAAGGTCTTTATGAATCGCTAGCACAAGATAGCACAAGCACGTTGTCCTTCGTAATCATGTCTTTGACCAAGCGGTTGCTGACCTGAAACTGTCCAGATTAAGAGCCAAGAGGCTTTCTCCAGACCCCGATGATCTTCATCCAGCATGCGTCGAGCCTCTTGCAGGTCGAAGGACTCCTCCGCAGGCATATCCCGACAGATGGATCCTTCGACCACAAAACCACAAAACTCTAACTGCTGAAGGTGGAACCCTGAAGGATCTTGACCCACCACTCTATCTCAGTTGCTCCCCTTTGGAATCATTGCCCAGTGGTCGCCTTCGTCTGGTTCTTCCAAGGCAAACTGGCAAGAAGCTCAAGATAGCCTTGGAACAATGCTGGGTACAAAATATTCATAAGGTATATATTTAAGTATGCATAAATAACTATTTTATGTTATTCTCGACGCGTTCACAAGGTTGAGAGATTTGATGCCTCGTACTTCCAAGCGATTTTGGCTGTGACAAGGTACCGGAAATGGCTGCGGTTGCCTCCTTTTGACTTTAAAGCTAATAAATTTGGGTGGATTCATGTGGATTCCAAGATGTTGTCAGTGCTTCAGAAAGGGGCGCTGAGCAGATGAAAGCCGAATGCACCACCGTCAACGTCTGCGACCAAACCCATGTCGAGACCTGCCCGGAGCCGGTCTTGCTGGTCTCGTGAGGCCCTCACTGTGAGTGGAGGTGTACTCTGGATGATGTGCTTGCAAGCTCTTCAGCCGCCTTGCTCTCAGAGCGGAGTTGGGGAGGGAACATGTCTAAACATAAGCTGGGGTGTCCAAAAACTCGGAATCTGTCATATTCACCTGTCTTTTCAAACTTCCAAGCTTAGCCCCAGGCTTTAGCTCTTTCTTTGCAATGCGGCTGGCATCTTCCGGGAGATTGGCCTGTTGTGCTGAGAGAGTGGCATATACCCAAGTAGCTTCTTCAAGATTCATTGGAAGTCCGGCGAGTCAAGATAATCTGATGCGGCATATACAGGAAGTGGTAGCTTCTGTCTGCTAAAGTTCACTCCGGCACCTTCGACAGCTTCTCACTGAGGTGTGCAAGCTCATCTTCTTCTTCCTCTTCAGAGTTGTAGCCTGACGGTTAAAACATGTTAAAACGAAAGTGCCAAGTTGCCTGCTTTGCTCGCTGTACCCTTGAAACCCGCTTCGGCAAATCAAGAATGGAGCCTACAGGCCTACTGGCCTATTTGTGCTTCCCGCACGTGTCACTAGCAGCAAAAGAGGGGACACGAGGTGCAGCGCAAGAACACGGCGAAGCACACCCAGCAACACAGGCCTTCTTCGTCGGACTGAAGCTTGTCCTGCCAGAGTTGGCACTCAACTGGAGTTGTTCATGAACGTACATTTATATTACTTTTTTAAAAAAGTCTGCACAAAACTAAGGCAGAAAAAAGAAAGGAATTGGAAGGGCGAATGGTCCTAGGCACGAAACAGAGATGCTGCGACGTCTCATGGGGTCTCCTTCTTTTGCTGAAGGCGCTGAAGCTCTCGCTGGATCTGGCAACAGTTGCAACTCTGTGCAGTAGAGCAGTGAAGAAAAACGGGATGAGTAGATGATTCAGCTACTTTGTTCAGCGGGCATGCAACCAGGGAAAGGTGCTTGTGAAGTTTCGTTCCCGAACTCAAGACGGCCCAAATTCTCAACTTAACCTGAGACTTGTGCCCACAAAAATCCTTGAAAGTACCGCTTAGTACAGCCGAAGAGTTCTATGTCAAAGCCATGGCACCTACGCACACGACCTTTTTGGCCCAAGATGTCACTTTGGTCTGAGGACTCTTGATGCAAAAGATATGGAGAGTCAAGATGGAAACTGTGTTTTGTTGTTCCGATCAAACTTCAGCTCCACCTTATGCAATGCAACGACACGACGCACCTCTTGTGCTGGAAGCGGGGTGACTTCAGAACACAAGTTTTAGTTCACTTTGGAACACATGGTTTTAGTTCGCTTTGGAACACAAAACATGGGTCACTTTGGAACACAAAACACCCAAAAACATGGAAGGGTTAGCAAAAAGCGAGATCACTTTGGAACACAACGCACCTGATTTTTTGGTTCACTTTAGAACACACACACAGACACAGATGGGGAGGGTTTAAGGATGAAGGATGGGGTGGGGTGGGGGGGATGGGGTGGGGTGGGTTGCAGTTAGCAACCAGACAGTGCGACTCTGAAGTGCTGAAAGGGTTGCCAGATTGGACAAGGTCAACATCTTCACACACACACACTTCGAACTTGGAGTTTCAGTTAACGCAATTGTCTCAATGGG